AGAGAAAGATTCCCATTGAAAAAATACCCGGAAATCACTTTAGAACAGTTAATAGTAGCACCATCTCTAACACCAGATCAATTGGGAGTAAGTATAAAAATCGTTATCAGTTTCAAATTAAATTATTATCTAAAAATATGTATATGTTTTAAATATCAAGTCATGTGCAGATCTTTGACCTAAATCTGTGTATCACTTGAAAAAAAAAATATTAATATTAATCTAAAGTGTACACTTTTCATAAACAGTTTATTATCAGTTCATTTTTTTTTTATTGAAATATTTTTGGATTTATTCGCACCAGCCTTTGATTTTATCATCGCTTACATATTATTATTTTCTAGAGTAAAACCACAAAAGCACGTGCTAGTAAAACTCCAGAGATATGTACAAAAAAAAGTTCGGCGCGAAAACCAAAGGAAAATTTAAAAAAGAATTAAAACAGAACGTGTACTTGTATTGAATAAAATTTTATTTATTTAAATTATTTATTTATTATAAAGTGTAAGAGTTTGAAAAAAAATTAATAATGTAAATTAATTTTGCAAAGTGTACAATTATTCTGTTTTACAAACATTTTAGTTAACTTTGCATTTTTTTTCTTTTTGGAATTCATTTAGAAGTATTATTTTTTTGTCAAATTTTTTTTGCAATGTTAATAATTCAGCTGGAAATGCCAGAATGTAATCATCTTTTGATGAATCTTCATAGATATGTTTTTAAAAGTCTGGGCGAAGAGGAGAAGGAGAATTATTCGTTATGATTCTATTTTGACCAATTTGGATTATAAGGGATTATCTCCTGAATAGATTTGCAAAATTACAAAGATGGAAGTTGTCAAAATTGTTTACTGAATGCGTGTGCCATCAAAAGCCACAATTTTGCAATAAACCGATTTTTATACAAAGTGGGGCATAACACAAAATTCAAAATATTTGTAGTAATCTGTATCATTGGTAGTATTTCTGCAGTGTTTTTGTATATTAAACATTTGAAATCGAGAATTTGACAATGTTGGTTTTAAAAATGGTGTTTGGATTCAATTTTTAAAATAAGAAAATTGCATACATTGTTGTTTTGTAGCCCACTACGGGTTGGTTACCCGCTCTCTACGTCACACTATTTGCCCCGCCCAGTTAACTGTCATTGTGTTCTATGCGTTTGCTGTGTATTTTTAGAGGTTATATCGTAGACATATTCATATTATTTTTAAAGTTTTATTTTTTAGACGTATTAATGTCTATCATATAACCTCTAAAAACACAGCAAATACATAGAACTCAATGACAGTTAACTGGGCGTGGCAAATAGTGTGACGTAGAGTGTGGGCAACCAACCCATAGTGGGCTACAAAACAACAATGGATGTAGCAGTCCTGTTAGATTCTACTGTCCTTTAGGATTTAGGAGATTGATACTTTATTGTAACCTAATTTATTCAAACTGTTTCTTTCACGGCAATGTAGTTGGGTTTTTTTTACTTCCCATTTTTACCAGGTTCAATACTTGACATATGATCCAATACACCAAATGGCGCTAATGAAGGAAATTTTATTCATATAGGGTCTTCACCAGGAGGGAAAAGCAAAGATTTTGTCTAAATTTTGTAAAATTTTTTATTTTTGTCCTAAGTATTTGTACTCTGAGGTTAATAACGGAATATAATATCTGCCAAATGTCCTCTTCGGGAATTCTTTTGATGAAATTTTTCATTACGTGTTCGCATAATTGTGGCCCTATCATTGCTGGAGTGTTGGCGTAGACCTTATCTTTGACATAGCCTTAAAGAAAAAAGTTTAAATCGCACGGAATTTTTCACACAATAGAGTAATCGTTTGACGACCAGTGTAGTATTTGCACCATCCTGCTGAAAATAAACGTGGTCAACACTCATAGCATCAATTTCTGGACAAAAAAATCATCAGTTATCTGGATTTTAATAAGTCCAATTCCTGTGAAAGTCTTAATATGGATAAACCTGGTTTTCATCCACATTCTGAGCTACTGCAGCGATATTTTTTGCAGACCTGACCGGAAGAACACAAATTAAGGTCTTCACATCACTACCTTATGCAAGACTTTCAAATTATGGACTAACTTTACTATAGCAGGATGAGCTTGATGATGACCAAAACCAGTACGAACTGTCTCCGCGAAATTCTCGCCATTTTTATAGTGAATTTTCACTATTTTAATATGTTGGGTCAGTGTATATCGATTCATTTCTTATAACCTCACAATTTTTACTTGTCAAATACAATATCACTGTCGGATTTATTTTGTCAGTTCAAAAATTTAAAATGAAACCTCTTATTGGAAGACCCTTTACAAGATACCAGTCACTATTGCATAATCACCAAGTAGTGTAAATTGAGGATGCAATGTTAGAATGTTTATTCTTGCGAATGTTCCACTAGATATTTAATTTGGTAAAACGAAAGCCTTGTAAAATGAAATATCGAGCATATTAAAAAATAGTGTTCGTAGTTCCAATTATCTGGCTGGTCTAAACACATAGACTCCGTTGATTTGTTGCAATTTCTTCTTAAAATTGTCGATCCAAATAATCAAATGATGTGTGGAAAATAAAGTAATACATCAAATTTTCTTAGGAGTCAGTTTTTTAAGATTTTAAACATCATCACATAAAAATAATAATATAGCGAATAATAAAATACTTATCTAACGAATTTTATTTTATTTTTTTTTCAGTTAAGATTAATAGAAGGTATCAATAACGACACAATGGTTAGCTTTATGATGGAACCTAACCGATTTTTTATTCAATTCCCAACGCATCCATCTTTCCCCTCTTTAAATATCCTCAGTACCAACATGACCGAATTTTACAATACCAATGAAACCCCAGCTGTACCTCTTCCAATAGCTGGTAAGTAACATAATTACACAATCATTAATCACAACACTTACAAATTTTTTTGCGTAGATTTTACGATATGCGCTTGTCACCTCGATGGTTTCTGGTATAGAGTGATGGTGACAAAAAGCGATGCAGAAACAGATAGTTCTCACGTCACGTTATTAGATTATGGCGGTTATTATTGGGTGGAAAACAGTCGATTAAGACAAATTAGCGGAGATTTTCTTTTGCTGCCATTCCAAGCCACTGAATGTATATTAGCTAACATTAGACCTATTGGTGGTATGTTTTATATTATGACCTAAACATATTTTCTTTATCATAATTAAATTGTTCTTATTTTTTATTAATTAAAGGTGAAAGTACTTGGCCCAAAGAAGCTTATGAAGTAGCAGCAGAACTCGCAAATAGAGCATTAGCTTGTACACAAGTAGCTGATTATACAAGCAATGGTATACCACTAGTCTACATGTATATTGTTGCTGGTCATCAGGTAAAACATTTTTTAAGTCTTAACTGTCTCAGGTGAAACCGAAATGTTTTTAGTTGTTAGTTGTAGTTTTATTTTTAACCAATTTATATTATATTCTAACATTACTAATTTCTTTACTTTATAGGATATAGTGTTCCTAAACCAAGAATTAGTCGATAGAGGGTATGCAGAATGGATTTCATATTCACAAGTTGAAAGCAGAACCACCACAACGCGAACATAAACAATAAGAAAAATAAAAGGAAAAAATTTGAAATGAAGAAATGGGGTCTTCGTATTTATTATGACAGAAACGGAATTGAAATACGTTTTGAAGTCATGTAATATTATCGTTAAAAGACTTTTTACCTGTTTTTTATATGTGTACATAATCTATTTAGTGCGTCCAATTTAGGCGATACAATTCAAGAAGATGTTAAAGTATTTTGTTACGTTTTTTTTTCTTTACATTTTTCTTTTCTACACATTTTTTTTGAAATATTTCTTTTTTAATTATTATTACCCTTATGTATGTTAACTACTTATGTACTAATTAAGAACTATTATTACAATTTTTGACTTGTACAGCTGGTTTATGGCGCACTATTTTCGTTGGAGTCCGGATGATTTTATGGTGTATTATTATTTTTTTTTAATTTCGGATAAAAGAATGTGGTTGTGTGTTTAAAAAAGCGAAGATTAACTTATAAGACTTTTTTTTGTTAAATTAGCGGTTTTATTTAGTAACAGAAAGAAGTGATGAATGCAATTATCTTCCAAAACAAAGTTTTATGAAAAAAATGATATACAGGTGTTTCTTTGGTTTATGGCATAATGATACATTAAAAAATAAAAAGCTTATTTAAGCTGGATTATTATATTTTTTTTTAATTATGACTTAAATCATAGAAGAAATCCTGTGTAGACACAGTATATATGGAAATAATATGTATACCACATAATATAAGATACACCCTGATAGATTTTTTAATGACTATGTTAGAAGAGTAATTGTATATATTGTATTTTCGAATATATTAACTGGTAGTCAGTAGGTTTTGAGCCTTACATTTAAAATTGTATATTTTTTCTTATTTTTTTCTGGGGTTTATTTTTCTAAGCTTACATTTATAATGAGAGGGGGTGAAATTTTGTTTTTATTTTTGCAAAAAAATATGTATAATTAAATATTATTGTATTTCAATATAAAACAATAATTACCAAGTACAAAAACGTTTATTCTATAACAATTTCAATTTTTCTTAATTTTATTTTTTGTGTAAATGGCTGTATATTATTACTTGATTATATTTGGCACGAAATAGCTTTATTTTGAAATTATTTTAGTGGTTTTGTTTGGTACACCCTCTCTTTTAGAAAATTGAAGTTATTTTAATAACATAATTTATAAGTCATTTTTTTTTATTTGCAATACGAGTAAATTTTGATTAAGTAGCTTATATAAATGATTGTATGTGCTTCTTTATGTATGAGCTACTTAAAATAAAATATAATACTCTATTTGTTGTACTTTTTTTTATTACTCTATCACCATATGAATATCTCTGGGCAAATGTTGTAATGACTGCATAAGAAGTAGAGATGAATTAAACTAAATATCATATTAAACATAAAAATAAACAAGAAATATATCTAAAATTTAAATTTTATTAAACTTTACTACACATATTTTTCATGGTCACTTAAATTTATAGTCCATTTCAATATAAAATTGCACAACAGTTAAAAACATTGCAAATATAAACAATTTCCATCAATTCCATTTTAATTATAATGGTACATTTATACATACAAAACATTTTGTAAAATATCACTGATTTTATCTAGCAATTTTTATTGTCAATATGGAATGAAATCACATGACGCTTGTTTTACCAAAAAAAAAACAAAAAGTATTGATTGTTACTATTAAGGTGGGTATTGTTTTTTATGCTTGAAGAAGAAATATTGAAAGAGGAGGTGCTCTTAATCAATTAAAAAATGTTTATCACCTTGTCGTATTGATTATTATGATGGCAAACACCGACAATGCAAGACAACAAAAAAAAAGCGTGGTTACCAAAAGATTGGTAACATTTCATATAAATTATTTTTAGAAAAAAAAATCTAAACGTAATTATTATTTAAATTAACTCCAAACGTCCGCTGATAATCTCTTTTGCGTTTCCATTTTCTTCAGGTATGCTGCAGCTTCTTGTTCTGACATGTTACCTTTTTGCATCAAAACTTTAATAACCACGTTACGGACATCGTTTGCCATATGACGAGCATCACTAAGATAAAGAATCAATTATTACTTAAAATTTCAATATGATTTTAAAAAAATACTTACCCACAAATATAAAAGTGTCCATTTTCCTCAACAATAATCCTATAAAGTTCATCAGCATTCTGTTCCATTAAATGATGTACATAAACTTTTTTAGGTTGATCTCTTGAAAAGGCACAATGTAATTTTATCACTCCATCTCTCTCATACTCCATTAATTCCTCTTCATAAATAAAATCTTCGGCTCGTTTTCTACAACCGAAATAAAGAATGGTTTCACCAATAGTATTTCCATCATTTTTCATAAAACTTCGTTCTTGTATAAATCCTCTAAATGGAGCAAATCCAGTTCCTGGACCAACCATAATAATAGGCATTTGTTGTTTTGGAGGTAATCTAAATTGGGATTTTCTTATAAAAACTGGTACAGTCATGTTTACATCCATATTCGGTTTTTTCTTGGCTAACCATGTTGTAGCAACACCTTTATTAGTACGTTTCGTGGGAGTTTCATATTCAACAAGAACCGCTGTTATATGAACGGTATTTGGATGAAGTTTTGGCGAAGAAGAAATTGAATAATATCTTGGTTGAAGACGAGGTAATAATTCGCAAAGATGATCCAAAGCTGGTTTACACGAAGGTAAATCTTCTAAAATATGAACGATATTACGGTTGTCATCAATAATCCATTGGTGGTAGAGAGCTTTTCCTTCAGGAGTAGTGGAAGCCATAAGTTTTAATTTTTCTTTTTCCGCAGGATCTGAGCAGTATTCACTTAATTCTTTTAAGACGTGAGTTCTTGGATTCATCGTTATATCAACGTAATGAGTCAATGCGGTTCTATATGAACAAGGACACGGGAATGGATGTTTTTTACTTGATTCTTCATCGGTATTTATCAAAGAAAAGATCGTATCCAAATCTTTATTGGTAAGTTTGCCAAGTTTATTAATTAATTCTTCGTTGTTAACCGGATAAACCCCAATATGATCGCCAGTATCATATCGCATTTTTGAACCTTCAATATCAAATTCAATGTGCATGCAAGAACGATCACTCGTGTTTTTATGGAGTTCTCTGTTAACGACAACTTCGGCTAAATACGGATTTTTAGCATCAAATGGACTAAGAAAATTAAAGTAAAAATTAATTTTTATAATTAAAAGGGTTCAAAATGTAACTTACGATCTTTGATTTTTTAATGAATGTATTCTTGCCATTTCACCAGTGAATACACGATCGGGAATATTTACTGGAAATTCTTGTAATCTGTATTGACGGACGTTAACATCTTCTCCAGTTGATTCGATTCCGAAGAATTCGCATACAGCTGGCCAAAAACGGTCTTTCCATGTAATAAAGTCATCTTCAATACTAAATTAGAAAAAAAATACAACTTTTAAGATTAAATATTATTAAGATTTTGCAAAAATGGTAATAATAAAGTATTACTTTATTTTAAAGTAATTTTGAATTAATTCGCAAAGAGTGGATGATATGATGTGATTTTAGTGCAAGATGGTGAAGTTACATATTGGCGGTGATAGGAGAAGGCCGAAAAAGAGACGAGTTGCAGAGAAAGCGTTATAAGTACAAGAAACAATAAGGCTAAAGCACCAGCTCCTAAATATTGCTCTAAGATAAGCTTTATAAGTATGAGTTACCACAATTTTTTTTAACTATATCTGTACCTTGAAATATAATCGTATTTTGCCATAAAATATAAACTGAGCATTATTAAGTATGATATTGTTTCTCTAAAGAGAAAGAAACTGACGTTTGACGGTTGATAAGAAGTGACGGAGAGAATGGTGGAGAAGATAAAGCTAGCAGAAAACTCAGAGTTGAAACATAAAGTCATGAATATTTAGAAAATACTAGGGCAAGGAAGTGAAAGGAAGGCAACTATAGCAAAAATATATAGATTTTAACTTATTCATGCATATACATTTTCATGGTCTTATTTCATGGCACAAGATTTGCTATTCTTTGCATGATTTTGATTTATTCCACAATATCTCAAGAACTCCAACTGATAGGTATAGGGACATGTACTGAAGCTAATCAAATATGGGGTGTTCCATTTAAAATTTTCGACTTTTTTGCAATTGAATATGGTAAAACAGTAGCTATATTTTTGAACACTCTGTATAACGTAGACCGATGGCGCTCTATTTAAGGATATCCAAGCAGCAACTGTTACAAATTTTAACTTTCTATCTCAATCAGTCGTTAAGAAATTCAGATTTAAAGGACACAGTGTTAATTGCTAAAAAAAGTTTCTAATTAAAATAACTCAAAAATTAAAAGCATTAGGTATCAACATATCTTATCAAAGTTAACATATTTTTGTGTGTAATAAAAACTATATCATTCCATTTAAAATAACATATGTGTATTTCGGTACATCGTTATGGAATACCCTGTATGTATAAAAATATTTTCCGTTTATAGTGTGGTAATTTTCCTGCAACTTTTGTCTAAGGAAGAACTGTGTATCTCGGCTTTTTAATGCCATTTATGTATTTTGCATCGACCACAACAACATATATATAAATAATATATACAGGATGGTTCATGAAATTCGCAACCCCTTTGATTTTATTATGACAACTTTTTAACGCCATTGAATATTAACATAAAAAAACATGGGTTGTAAAGCTTATTCATTATTGCTACTTTTTTGTCTCTTTGGTTTTTTCCTTAAAAATAATAGTTTTAGCGCAAAAAAATAAAAGATGCTACATTGTACTGGAAAGCGCTGCTATTATTAAAAGAAAATTTTTCTTTATAGCTGGCTATGGAAGTTGTGCACTTACTAGGATCTAATATTAACTAAATAACACCAATTAATTATGATTTTCATAAGAAAAACCATAAATAAGATGACTGTATGTCTGAATAAATTATATAGTCAAATGGTGTCAAATGTCTTGAATATAGCCAATAACTTCGCCATTTGTGGTTTTAAAGAAAAATGTTTCAAATACAAATTTCTTTATTAACCATGGCGCATTTTTTGGCGATATTTGCTTGTTTGTATTGTTTTTGTTTCGTTGCTATGGCAACTAACATTGTTATTTTAAATGGGATGTATATATTATATTTTTTTTATATACTTTTATAGAGGATAAGTCCCTCTATTAATTATTCATAATTGTTGAAACTGTAATTTTTTTGACATTTAAAGCTGTCAATGGCGTTATTTCGGCGCCTACTTTGATTGTAATTTGCTGATTTAAGACTTTTAAAAAACGCATTTTTTCTCGATTTTTTCCTAATACAACTATATGATATGATATGTTGATCGCGTAAAGGGATTTATACTCTATTAAAATGTGCAAAAAAAACATTTGCATCCCATTTAAAATAACAATGTTGGTTGCCATAACAACGAAAGAAAGGACAATGTAAACAAGCAAGTATCGCCAAAAAATGCGTCACAATTAATAAGGATTTTTTTATTTGAAATATTTTTCTTTAAAACCACAAGTGGCGAAGTTACTGGCTATATTCCAAACATTTGACACACCCTGTATACACCGGTGTCTCATGTAACTGGTTCGTTAGAACTTTTTCAGGTTCCACTATTCGTAGAGATTTGAAATTTTGGTAGCATGGGTTATTCATTCGGAACTTTCGATCTAAAATATTTTCAAGATGGCCGCCATTTCCGTTCTACCGGAAGTAGACCATAACTTCGTTATTTTAAATGAAATGTTATAGTTTTTATTGCACCATTTAATTTTGCGTAAAAAAATAGGTTGAGTTTGATAAAAGTTATTGGTACCTAGCGTTTTTCGTTTTCAAGTTATTTTGGTTTTAAGCTTTTTTTTTGGTAAATTTCAACGTACTCTTTAAAACCCCATATCTCAACCAACGCTCATTCAAAAAAGATCTACATTGGCACGATTACTCTTCAGATGCTGTCAAATAGATTGTCGTTTGTTGTATCGGAGTATCTTATACAGGCTGGTCAAAAATTGAATTGCTATTTCTCCATATTCAATGGCGAGAAAGTCGAAAATTTTAAATGTATATATGTATATATATAGCCCATTTTATAAAATGAAATGTGTACCCAATTTTTATCCAATTTTATCTCTAATCATTATAAAACCGTTACTAGAAACTTCCGAACCGTAATACTTTATTACTAAGATAAAATGAATTACTTTGCGTCATCATCTCCAAGTCCAAGTTCAAAAACTCTAGTGGCACCCAATTCTTCTAATCTTTTATCCATGTAAATGGCTACGGCATTGTAATGTTCATAAGTTTTATTCCCAAGGCCAAATACCTACGAAATAAAGAAGTCAAACATTAATATGTGTTTTTAAAAATAGATTTATTTATTTTTCAACCTAGTTCTTTTTTTCGCTTTTACCGTTTCAAGAACGTATGTTAAACATGTTTTTTTCTTATTCTTACTAATTTATGATAATTATGATGACTTGACGGTATTAACCATTTAAATCAGTGTAAACATTCACAACAATACTTTAAACCGAGTGATAGTTTAATGTTTAACCCAACTCTGTAAGTTGTAGGTCGTAGAGGTTGAATTTTCGTTTACGGAGTTGAGATTCAACTTATTTTGTGATTCAATGACGTATTATAAATTTAACAAGAACTTTGATATATTCCACGAGAATTTTACTGATTATTTTTTGATAACTTTAATCTCCTATAGTTAAATGTTCATCTTCATCATTACACAATTAAAAACAATGAATAGAATGTTTAGATAAGACTCGGCGACTTTATTTTATTTGATGGTGAGTCAATCATGACTTCTCATTGTTTTCAATTTGCGATCTTGATGAATTTCTCAAATAAATCAATGATTATGAAAACTGCTAAGTTCATATTCACGGAAAATTGTTATTTTTAATGTAAGTTGTAAAATGATTGTGTATATTTAACAATTAAGAACATTCTTTTAAGAAATATAATAACAGTAAGTAAATGCACTAATTGGTAAGTTAGATTTTGAAAGAATAGAATTTAACATAAAATATTTGCACTATAAATTTAAGTCTTTTTTCTTATAAAAGCGTAAATAAATAACAGCATGTTCGTAGATAATAGCGTCAAATTTTTTATACTGTTAAATTAGAATCGCACGTGGAAATTATCAACCAAGGTCACTTTTCAATGAAGTAATGATTTACGTAGCGATTGTATATATTTTGCTTTCTGAAGGGCAATATGTTTTAACTATTACTGGTATGTATAGAAATATTTTTTAGAACAACTTAATTCAATATTAATTAATAACAAGAGCAATTTTAAAGTTTGATTTCATTTCAATATCATTTTGATTCAACAATTACTTGAATTAATAGCAATTGACGCGTTAATGATAACGACCGTTATAAATAACTTCTCTTTTTTTTGTATTTTTTTGAATAAATAAAATCTTATTCCTGTTTTACAATCTTTTTGATAACAACCAAATAACAACAACACAAGATATCGTGTATCTTTGTCGTTAATTATCTAAAAAACTTACCGCATAATTTAAACCTGATAAATCTGCATCACCGTTTTGTAACCATTCGTAAAACTCCATTGCGTTATCAGTTGGATCTCCTTCGCCATAAGTAGCCATACAGAATACCGCCAAAGAATTTGGAATGTTTTTCAAATTAACTAATTCCTCCATATCGCATTCTTCTGGATCGGCAACCATTCCTTTTAAATTATATCTCATTCCTTCTTTGGCTAAACGCCCGGCGAATTCTTCTCCAGTTCCCGTTTGACTTCCATAAAAAACTACTAAACTACGACCCGAAGTTTGTAATTTTTTTATAAACGAATCTTCCGTTGAACTTTGTAATGTCATCGCAGATGGTCTAATAAAAGAATTAATAAATAAATGAAGAAGTGCGCATTAAAAAAATCTTACTGTATCGAGTATGATTTTCCATTCGAAGTAATTTCATTTTTCTTCCTGTTCTTTAACAAATACCAAGCACCTCCTGCGGCTAAAACTAAGAGTAGGACTATATCCAATGTGCTAAAAAGTGATTCCGATGTTTCAGATATTTGTTCGGTTATAACGTCTGCTTCCACTTCCATCGTGGAATACTAGAAAAAAAATATTAAACAAATTGTTAAATGTTTAATATTTATTGAACAATCTGAGTAAGAAAACTGAACAGCGTTAATCTTTTTTGTTAATATAAATGACTTCTACAAGATAAGTTATCTGATATTTTTTGAACAAACGTATCTGTTATTGTTTGCTTAGCTTTAATGAGTATTGTTTTGGATAGTAGTACTTACTCGAAGCAAATGAATCATTGTATTCATAAATTATTTATAATTATAAAAATAGATTTTAGTTCTGATAATGTTCTTTATTTTGCCATTGCGTTGCACCGTGCTCTATGTGTATCATAAACAGGGTAAGAATCGAGAGAAGATTAGATTTAGACAGAAGATTAATCTAGAAAAGTTTGATTTTACTCCATCAAGAATTCTGTATATTTTGAATTTCCGGTGATAGAAGCTAGATAGAAATGTATAGTGAAGTAATATTTATTGCAAGGTGGAAGAAGTTTTCATAAGACCCATTATGACTTATACAGCACAAACGAGATCAGATACATCAAAAATAGGATGACTTCTTGAGACAATCGAGGTGAAACTTCTTAGGAAGATTTCTGGAAAAATCTTATGCTACAGAGAGATAACAAAGATATAGAAGGAATGAGAAAGGAATGCAAAGCAGAAAATATTCACGAATAGGTACTAAACAGAAAAAAAGAATGGAACCAACACAAAAACAGAAACACCAATAACAGACAATCAACAGACTTGTACGAGTGGCAAGAGATAAATCACCTGACGACAGAAGAAGTATTGGATGCCTAAGAAAACGATGGAATGATAGCACATCAATGAGCAAAACTGATGAAGGAATAGGCTTTAACCTACTTTAGTTTAACGTATTTTATGAAGAAGAAGATAAAAATATTTTGAGTTAATGAACGACACCCAGAATTTTACAAATAGTTATAAGGGATAAAAAGAATAACTGTTATTAATCACAGAGTATCATAACTAATAACTAATCATGTTCAACCCAAATTAACTAATTCTCAACTCAACCCAACCCAAGCCAGAATTCTTATGTTATATGTCAAAACAGATGCTTATAAAGATTCAACCCAAACCAACTCAACTCAGTCAACGCAAGCCAACCCAACCCAGAATTATTTGATATTTCAAAACAGATACTTATAAGGATTGCGAAGAATAATGACTATTAATCACAGAGCACCACAACTAATAACTAATCATCAAGAAGTAAAAGACACACTGAAACCACAACTCAATTCTTTCCAACACAAGCCAAGCTAACCCTACCCAACCCAACCCAATAATTATTATTATTAGTCACAGAGTATTACAACTAATAACTAATCATCAAAAAGTGGAAGACATACTGAAACATCTACAAAGAAATTACTGGTGGAAAAAGATGAGAAATACCAACACACACTAAAGCATTATAGCAGAATAAACACTAACTTTAGTTAATACTGTTATAAACATCAACGTCGAAGGACATAAATTACTGCAACAAATTAAAGAGCTAATTCTATGTCGAAAATTTGATAAAAATAAAAAAGCAGGAAATAAAACGTTTTGAATATCCATAGCATTAACAAATACAGGAAATACAAACTGTCATCACGAAGAGAAAGGTTACCAGGTGATAGATGTCTTCAATTACACTTTTGCAGAAATAAACTTTGATACTAATAGATGAAAATGGTTTGCAGAAATTTTAATATATCATATTCCCACATTTTTGAAAAAGATGGAAACGAAACCAAAGAAAATTGGATGATTTAGGAAACGTTTGACAGGAAATGTTTTCCAACTTCTTTTTCAAAGCCCTGTATCCAAGCCAACCCAAGCCAGAATTATTTTATATTTCAAAACAGAGCCAAACCAATAATTATTATTAATCACAGAGTATTACACCTACAAACACCTACAAAGAGATTACTGGTGGAAAAAGATGAGAAATACCAACACACACTAAAGCATTATAGCAGAATAAACACTAACTTTAGTTAAAACTGTTATAAACATCAACGTCGAAGGGCATAAATTACTGTAACAAATTAAAGGGCAAATTTTTCCCAACTTCTATTTCAAAGCCCAGTTCAAAGTCCACAAAATAAATGCACAACATTTTAATGAAAATGCTTTCAATTATGATGAGATTTTGTGGTTGTAGAAATAATACTGCTGTCAAAAAGAGACGTGAAAGATAAGAAATTATTTAATCAATTTCTCAACTTGTTGCCAAAAAAATATTGTGTTTAATTTGACCGCGATGAACGGGTTCGAATCGCAAATGGCCTCGTCTAACGTATTCTACGTCAATGATAAACCTTTCCGACCTTGGTACACAAATAACTATAAAGCAATTAGAATATTATGCAATTTTTTTAAAGGGTAAATGAAAAATTTCTCTATGTTAAAATTTGCATAATATTCTTAAATATATGTTATTCCTGCATATATTTAAAAAAAAATATTCTAATATGTTTTTATTCTCGAAGGATTTCAAGTTGGACCCACTTATCTATTGACCTCATAAAAGTATAATACCTATATCATCAGAAAGTATCATCAAGTTTATTATACATATGTATACACGAATGACCATGAGCGTGGACGAGACACGTGTCTGTAAAACGAAAAATGTATAATCACCGGACGCACATAAATAGGGTACGAAAACTTTCCGTGATTTTCCTTTACTAAATTATTTTTTTAATATTTGTTTATATTTGAATTAAGTAAAATAAAAAAAATAAAATAATACTTACCAAACTCCAAGAAAATATATAAGATAACAACTTATGTGTACTAATCATTTTAGCAAAAATTAATAATTTACTTAAAAAATTAAATAATAAATAATTTACACAACTAGTATTGAATAAATATTACTACGAAGCGAATGTAGTATTGACTGTAATCATTACGAATCATACTTATATAAACGATTTTACAGAAATGACGTAGATGATTTAAAAGAGTGGGGTAATGCACGTACGCAAAAGTGTAAAATTACTTAAAATAACCGTCTAGTTAAAATTGTATGCGAAGATATCGATTTTGAGCAATTATTGTAATTTAATTCAACGTCAACTTGAAATTAAATTACAATTTTTTTTTATGCGAACGTAATTCTGTTTAATTTCTACTTACAACTTAAATTAAATATTGTTAAGAAAAAGAAATAATCACCTTATGAAATTAAATTATTGCTTTCAGGCAATGATTGGCAAGTTTTTTGATAACAAAATGTAAATAACGATAGGCAAAAACCTCCGTATGACTCGTCATTAACGATATTACTCAACTATTTTAATGTTGATATTTTTCAAACGTGCAAACTTACAAAGTGATAAATAAGGCTGCGATAAAATCATAATTTTAGGTTAAACAACTCATTATTAATTTTTTTTTTGTGATGTTTTGTATTGTCTGCGCAGAATATTAAATATGAATCATTTTTAACTTAAGATAACCCTCCTTAGTCGGTATCTTAAATAATTATAAAATAAAATAATCTTATTTTTGAAAAGATTTTGGTTAACTGCTCCAGACAAAAAACAAAAACATTTTTATTTTGGATTATATATTAAATTTAAAATCTTTTTTTTTAAATTTTATAATAATTCGATTAATCTCTAAGTATTAACATTATTTCGATATTTAGTTTAATACGCAATTTTGACCTCAATGACCAAAGATAATCTGTCGGCGTAGCTTTTGGTTAATCGAAAACATTTTAAGCTATCTAATAATCTTAAAAAAACGTCGATTTAATTTATTAAGATATAAACTCTTCCGAGCATCACTGATGAAGTAGCAGCAATGATAAGCAAAAATAATCAAATTATAAATGTTCTTCCCGCTTCACAAATCACCTTAATTTTAATCGTTTAAATCGTAAATTTCGTTCCAATGGAAATCGAATCACAATCAATTTCGGTATTTCATTGATAAACTCGATTTAAATGAACAACAAATTGTTTATCAATTATCGATACTAACATACGATAAAAAATTTATAATTAAATAATTTCTAATTATCAACCAGATTGAGAAGGTTGAATTTAACATAGAAAGTTCACCAGAACTGATTTAGAATAGCTACAAAAACGGATGTTTCTAGATTATTCTAGAAATTTTTTCTTCTTCCCTTTGACTTGGAAAAAAAGATAAAGATTTAATATCACCAGTTCCGAGGATTAAACAAAAGAATGAAAATACAAAGAATTACACCACAAAGTTAACCTCAATGATAAGAAACGAAGAAAGTAAACAGAAGTACTAGGAAGAAAGTTATTTTGAAGAAATTCTAGCAACAAATAAAGCAATGGCTATGACCTACACTATAATCTACAAGAATCTTGTACTCAAGGCAACATCACCTTTCAGTTACGATTGTGTTAATAAACAAGGTTGTAATGAACTGGGTTCGGGATGACTATGGGTCACACTCACACCCACATCAGTGTGACCCATAGAACTGGATCATAGCTATTCAATCTTCTGCTGGGTAAAGGACGCTGTGTTGCAAAATTGTATGTGTGGCACTATGTGTGGTATATGGCCTGATGATGATAGGAACAAGTGATTGCCTTGTAGACCACTTTGGTGCTTGGGAATGCCACGTCATTTTAACTATGGGATACTAAAAAATTGTCAATGAACCCTGATGCGTATCAGATTATGACAACAAAATTCCAGACGCCCAAAGTACTGTGTCACATGCAGAACATAGGTAATGGTCTAGAATTTAAAGAATTACTTTAAGAAAGACGTGATCAGACTAAGCGATCATGTATTAAATAGCTGGAAATTAGTGCATGGAAATGTAGAGTTAGTTCAGACCTCTGTTCTTTCTAATGCCATGTAAGTTTTTGAGATTGGAAATGTTAGAGTAAAAATTTTTGACTTGATCGCTGCAATTACTTTCTGCAAAGTCATTTTCTTCCATTCTGCTACACATAGTATATTACCAAGTCTCCTTTAAACTCTATTTTCAACTTTGTTCTTGGTACAGAACGTACTAAATTCCTACTTCCATCAAGAAAGTTTTTTCAATATGGAATATAACGCAGTTTTACACAAATAACATAACTTTCCTATGCAGGTTTTTTTCGTACAACTTAAGAATGTTTTCCAAGGATTAAACACAATAACTTTCTGGCTGCTGTTGCTACTTTATAATCTGCTTTATCTAAGTAGTCTTGTGCTGTTGGGGAAAATAATTACAGTGTCTACAAGATCAGTACATCTCAGTGGCTAACAATAAACTGGCAATTCAAATAGTGTCCATCGACTGCCCATTCCTCATCGAGCCTCACACTCGCAAGTTATCTGTGTATTGTTGGCTATTGGTCTGATGTGGAAGGGAATTCTGTTCAACAGCATCCATTTAATTACTACCATTCAATTCCGTTCAATTACAAACGACTATACTGAAATAGCTGATTTTACATTTCCCTTTGTGCTGTTACAGATACTCACAAAACAACTTAAAGAAAAAGATGAAAACATCTAACCAATATTATCAAGATCAAATAGAATCGCAACTTTGTTTTTAGCACTATATTTCTATTATTGCACACAAATCAATATCTTTTTTATCAATGTATACTAAAAGATCAATCTTTTATGCCCCATTTTTTATTAAAAAATATATCAACTAAAAAGGACACAGGAAAGCGAATAAGTGCTTGGATGAGCGACCGAAATAAATTTTAGTGGCATTATTTAATAAAAAAAATTGTAAATAAGTGGATGGGTTAAGAGAAAATGTACATTATATAAATTACTAATGTTCGTTTTAACATTGTTGTGCCCTTATTTGGTCTGGTAAATATAACCCAGTAAGATAGAACTATTTAGTAAATCTAATTTTATTGTTTTAGTCATGAGTGGAAACCGAATATGAATGTATAAATAAAATAGGTTTCAAAAACATCTGGCTTTCTTTTAGAAACTTCAATAAGTTGCCACACTATAATTAGTGGACAAGGTTCGGGGTAAAAAATCGTTATTATTCGTTTCATAAAAGGAGTTTTATTCGAGGAAACGCAATTCTGATGAAATTTATAACTAACTGTAAATGATCCACTTATCAATAAAAGTAAAAAGGCGTACGTGAATCTGACGCAATCGAGAGGTCAACGAACAAACCTGTTTCCATCTTGCGAAACATTTTTACTAATAATTGCGCATCACCTGAGCGAAAAATGTTTTGAAAGCAATAATTTTTTATACGTGTAAAATGAATCATAAAGTGACATTTTTTTTAAATTTGATATGTAACTAATAATGATAAGTTAGTTATTCATCATTTGCATTTGCAAAGATTTTTTTATGCTAAAAGTGTGTTACGAAGAACAATTACATACACGAAATGTAATAAATAATAATTGAAATAATTTCAACCTATGTGGATGTGTAAACAATAGTCACATAATTCAACATAACATTCCTAAGCGTACGAATAGGAGAGAAACTTTTGTGGGTTTATCCATATTGGTTATGTATGTAAAAAATACTACATATTATGCAATTTTGAGGTTTAAAAAACTTTTTGATCATCAAAAGTGTGTATAAATTTTCATATTCCAGACAAAGCAAGGGCATAAATATGACGTATTGTCACCACTTCCTTTCAGTACCAGTTTTACAGGTTTATATTTAAATTTGAAACATGAAAATTTGAATTTTAACTGCATGTGCGTGATGTGTGCAAAGTTGAGTAGTGTTTTCCAATGCAATAAATTTGTTAATAATACCTAAAAGAAAGGATCTAATTATTGTGAGCGTAATCAAATGGTCTTATTGAATGTTCAAGGTTTTACACAGTTTGAAATTTTAAAATGAACGAAACACTTAAGATGTTCAAACCACGTTAAAAATTCTTTTTGAAAGCAGTATCTGTACGTCGATTAGCAGGAATCACTTTTTACTAGAACGCAGCGAAAAGGTATCGTGGTTATATCTAGATGAAAATACATATCGAAGAGTGTACAAAAATATGTCCCAGAACTTATAGAGTTTCCTTTTATCGATTTATTTATGTTGGTAAGGAGCATCTTTTATCTGTAGACGAGACAAACAAAGAAAAGCAGCTTCAGGTTCATGTGCTTCAAGAAAACGAACATGAACCAACTAGTTTCATAACGCCACCGCTTACAGCAGCAGATGTCTGTAATTCTCAATCTTTTCCAGAAACCTAACATATTTTATATCATCTATTTAGCCATTACTGGTAGCAAAAGCATCTACAGTTAAGTAAGTACATCGCATGGATTTGTACAGGACTAAAATACTTGTCAGGACTAACCACTAGTATAAGGGTGTCCAGAAAGACTATAATTTACCATTATTAACACAACCTCAAAAAAGTGTCAATCCACCAAAAGCCTTTCGTTGTCAACTTTCCAGCGCTTTTGACACCTTTAAACTCGTTTTTCAGGAAGGATTCCACATGATATCCGAAACGTCAAACATTATAACGCAACGCAATATCTGAAATCATTAAGAAAATTGTCATTTTCGTCCAATGGCTGACGCCACCAATAATTAAAGTGTTTCAATCTTTCTTGAATGGTAGGGAGTTTTTGCATCGCTTTTGGTGTCAAATATGAATCCACTGTTGATTTCACTCGCATAAAGAGATTAAGATGGAAAATAATAAAATATATGTTGTCTTAACGTCTACTGAATAACGTCTACTAAGCAATGGATCCATATATACTAGGAATAGTTCAGCTTTACTGGGTTTGTGTTTGCTGTAGGTTAACCTAAGCAGATCTTATTTCAAGTAGTTTCGGCGTGCTATTGGTTTTTTGGAAGACACTATCTCATTATATCATATGATTTTGTAAAGTTGATTTTTGGTACAATATGGTAAATAGATTTGAACATTAGCTGGATGTCTAATACAAAATAACCCAAAATTGTTTCAATGGCAAAACAATTAAAGAAATAAGCAGGTACAAGATATCCTAAAATCATTTCAATGGCAAAACGATTAAAGGTATTACATAAAAGTTGTTTTAAGAACCTGTTACTATTTAAGACAAAAGGTTCTACCTAATAATTATTGTAAAGTAAATTATTACCTACCTACGATAATTATCTATATACTCAAAAAAATCTGATAAAAGGAAATACACCATTAAAACAAATTTACCATTGTTTGTAAAATAATACTATTACAAATGATAAGAAATAGAAATTATATAACACAATCGATAAGCCAAAAATTCCAAAAAAAAGAATCCATTTTGAAGAATAAAAAATTAAAACTAGTTAACAATAGCCTATTTAACATTTTGCTAAACTGTTTATTCAAAAAAGCATTTGCGAAAAACAGTGATGACGTTATCACAACAAACGGAAACTCATTTGCATTTTCGCAAAATAAAATGCCCTTTATTTTGTATTAGGTTTAATATAACGATTTGTGCAACTATTAACATTACTAGAACATTGAGAAATTATAAGAACATTAAAGTCTAAGAGCAACCAAGGGCTGTAACAGATTGGATCATATCAGAAACGAAACTCTGAGAGAAGAACTGCAAATTTTCGCAGTTAACGATAAAATCAAAGAACACAAAGAGAAATGGATGGACCACGTGCAGAGATTTCAGGATGATAGAATGCCAAAATTGGCACTGCAGTATAAACCAAGAAGTACAGGTCAACAAGTCCTAAATCGTTAAGTAGACGACGACGACAAAGATAAACAATCATGACGTCAGGAAATGTAAAACGGAAACAATTTTACATTTTTGCTAAATCATATGAATTTTATTTGGCATTCATATCGAGATCAAAGGTTAATGAGCGTTGTTCAAAAAATCAAAAGTAATCGTCATCGATTATAACAGCATAAAAAATGTTTTTGTTAAAAAATTTATGTTCAACAAAAAATCAAAAAACAAATGTAAACATTTAATTTATATAATTACCTCAATTATAAATTACATCATTTTTCATCCAATTCCAACATTCGGGAAATAAATGGTTCGAGGTCATTTCATAATGTTTCAATTCGAGATGAAATTGCGATAATGAACAATTATTTACCAATTAAAATGAAAAATTGATATATCGGAGAAATATACTTTCTTTCATCAATTGATTCTGATGTGCGTGACACGTATTCAAATGATTCTTATTTATTTTATTATTGTCTAACGTTAACTTACCAAAAAGTGATTCCAAAAAACAGGCAACATTGTTCGGGTTTACAACACTACACGCACTGTATATGCGCACAAGATTTTGCTTTTTTTGTTTCGATGAAGGATTAGAATACCCACTAACCTCCTCTTATCGAAGAATTCACTCTCGAAGTGAAATTATAGGAATGCCTGGCATTTAGGAGCACGCAAACATACGCTTGAAGAATCGTTTTCCATTTTTACTCCAACGTTATTTGTGTAGTCTATTGTGTAGGAGAATATTAAACAATGATTTGAATTAATTGTTTATAAGAAATATTTATATTTATTAGTCTAGTGTTTGTTCTAGTTTTAATTGTTATTCAGTGCTAGTTTCTAGTTCTTGAACAGAATGTAATTTACTTGATTGAAGAGACACAATATTTAATGATTAAAAAAGAGCCACCAAAATTATTATAATTATTTTATTATCATCAATACAAAGAAAAATACTTAATTTTGATTTTTTGAGATCATTAATTTGCTTTATATATTATTTATATATCTTTGTTATTAATGTTAATTAAAAATTCTTGCATTTTGCATCAACACATTTTCCAATTAATTTTTTCTCATCATCAACGGATTTTTGATTGAACACTGTAACAATAAAAATTAAACACCATTTTAATTAAGAGTTAACCTTACCAATTGGCTTAGATGGAATTAATGAATCCAATTTTTCGTTAGAAATAATTTTATCAAAAGATAAACTGGCGATTCGCAAAAATAATTTTGAGATGTTATCTCCAGTTCTTGAGGAAACTGGCCAATATTCCATATCTAACTTTTTAGCGTAATCCATCGCTGATTGTTCTATGTTGTTATAAGCTGCGTTTGACTTTAATTTGAAATAATTTTAATAAATCAAGTTGGAAGATAAATTGGGTGTGTTTACCACCAAATCGATTTTTGATCCAACGAGGAATAAGAAAGGATCCATGTCCATTGATGCATCCAAAGCTTCTTCCAGCCATTTTTTGCAATGGGCTAATGTTGCAATTGAGGTAAAATCAAAAACTACTATTATAACTATTAAAAAAATAAGAATTTTGGTATAATAATAAAATTAATAATTTGAATAAAGCATATACCATGAGCGCTTCTATAATAAGATTGGGCTATTGATTTAAATCTTTCTTGTCCAGCTGTATCCCAACTAAAAATTTATTAATATGAATGTAATATTTAAATCATTCAAAGATTATTACTTACATCTGTAAATGAAAAGGCACATTTAAAATATCAAACCTTTCAACATCAAAATCAACCCCAATCGTAGCCTTATATCCGGTGGCAAAAATTTGTCTACAAAATCTAAAAAGAACTCTACCACAAAACAGCTTAATCATTTAATTTGTTTCTTACCTATTAATAATACAAGTTTTTCCTACAGATAAATCACCCACAATAATAACTTTACAAATTTTTAATTCCGAAATGATATCTTGCCCGTACTGAAAGCACATTTCCCTCGTTATATCACAAAAATCTTTTTGTTTATAAGGCGTTGAATCCTTTTTATAAGGCGGTGGAATAGTTAAAATTTGTCGATTATCCACTTCCTGAGCTACCATTTTTAGTATGCCTTTTTTCATGTTCTAAAATAAAGTTCTTTAGAAGAGTTACTGAAGCGTGATGTTTGTATTTCAAACCTACCAACAAGCAGGTGTGCTCACGTACGACAAAACAATTCAAAAAGATTAATTAAAGCTATTAAAACCAATTAATTCTTGTTACAAAATTTTAAATGATGACTCTTTCGAGGAAATTAGATTGAAAATTGTTTTCGGCGAAAAATGATTTAAGTTGACATAAAATTTATTTACGTCAAAAAAAACAATAATTTAGCAATTATTTTATTTAAATTAGCTGAATTTTATAAAAAATATCATTTTAAGCATCGTTTTAAAACCACGCTGTATAAAATTCCACCATTGCTGTCATATTAATGATAATTGAGGTTATATCGTATGAGTACAAAACTGAATAGTCAAATAGTGTAAAATTTTAAAGAAGATTTACATTTCTACAATTTAAGATTATTTAATTAAAAATAAATTTTTAGAATATCGCGCCCTTTTTTTACGCTTGACTTTGTGATATTGCGCATGCGCGAAATTAATATCCGTTTGGGAGTTGATTTGACAACTTCCTTTTAGTGTGGCTCTTTTGCAAGATGGCACCGCCAAAGCCAAAGTCAGCGGATAAACCCGGTGAGTTTTTAACGATTTATTCACAAATAATTCAAAAATGTCTCAATTTTAACTAAAATAAACCATCTAAATCACGTTTAAATACAAATAAGCAATAATTTTCTGTTTGTTTGATAATTTTTAACTTGTTGACGTTGACCACGCGGTTAAACATTTAACACGTTTACTTTTCTTTAAATGCAAAAATTAAAGATTTTAATGATGATTTATGTGCGGGAATCTCGTTGAGAACCATGAAAACAAACCTTGATCACATCACTGAAATTCTAATAAAAAAAAATAAAAATATTTTGAGGTTATGTCAGAAATGATTTACAATTCTAATTAATTTCTAGCGGCGAAAAAAGAAGAAAAGAAGAAGACGGCCCCAGCCTCTGCGGCTGGTGGTTCTAGTAAAGCGGCTCCTGCTCCAAAAGCAGCAGCTGCAAAACCTGCATCAGCACCAGCTGCTGCAGCTCCAAAACCAGCAGCGGCTGCTCCTAAACAAGCTGAAAAGAAAGCAGCCAAACCGGCAGAGAAAAAACCAGCGACTGCTGCAAAACCAGCAGCGAAAAATGTAGCAAAATCAACAACTGCTAAGCCGAAGGTTGCCGCAGGGAAACCTTCAGCGAAAAGCGTTAAAAAGCCAGCATCGAAAGTTACTGCAAAACCGAAGGCTCCTGTTAAATCTGTTTTATCTAAACCTAAAGTTCATGTTCCACCGAAACAGCAAAAACAAAAGGTTTCTAAGCCTGTTGAAAAAGCTAAAAAAGTTCAAATTAAAGTAAGTTCTTAAATTTAATTAATTATTTCTTTTTTAATGTTTCTTTTAAATTTTGTTAAGGTTATTAAAGGTCCACATGGAACCCACATCCGTAAAGTTAGGACATCGGTCCATTTTAGAAGGCCAAAAACCCTTAGGCCTCCAAGAAATCCAAAATATCCAAGGAAAGCTATCCCCAACAGAAACCGCATGGATGCTTACAACATCATCAAATATCCGTTAACTACGGAAGCGGCGATGAAGAAAATTGAAGATAATAATACTTTGGTTTTCTTGGTACACACCAGCGCCAATAAGCACCATATTAGGGCTGCTGTTAAGAAGCTCTATGACATAAATGTGGCTAAAGTGAACACGTTGATCAGACCAGACGGTAAAAAGAAGGCGTATGTTCGATTGGCTAGAGACTATGATGCACTTGACGTTGCCAATAAAATTGGTATTATATAAATTTGCTTTCGAATTTTTGTTGTGTACGTTAATTGTATTAATAAAAATTTGAAAGATTAGTTAGGTTTTTATTTTAATATAATAAATTAATGGGTGTGTATAATTATTGATTTGTTTTTTTAATTGTATCCTAAAGCACAAGTTTTTAATAATAATAAACGTGATGCAGTTATTTTATTAATTTTATTTGCATATAATTTGCAAGTTTTTTTTTTTTTTTAATCATTAAATATTGGGTAGAATTGCTAAACTGAGAAATTATCTGAAAATTTTTAAAATATAAGGAATAGCTGTGACTGTACAGGGGGTGGTTCAAATTCGATGTCTGAATAGGCTAATTCAGAAACAAGAATTAGAAAAGAGAAGTAGCTTACGTGTCATGATTTCGTTTTTTGAGAAACAGCTAATGCCAAAAACCTAGAGGCCAAAATTAAAAATATCGTAAAACCAACAAGTGCAATTATCTTGGTTATTATTATAGGTGGAGTATTATAACTAATTGTAAGACATTATATGGACCTTTGACTTTCTTAACAGAGAATTTCATGACGTAGTCAAAAAAAATTTTTCGGTTTTAGATTTTGATATACCATGACAACTTTCGTTTCTTTTTTTTATAATGGAAACAACCACTGATTATTCGCTTATTAAATTCGTTATTTTTTTCTGATTACAATAACATGGGTCTATTTCTTATTGTTTTAGGATAAAGCCCTTATAAAGCTAAAAATAAATTTTTTTTTAGTGTCAAAGAAATTAAATTTACAGTTTCCTGTAAATTACGGTACTATAACTAAAAATTAATTTGCCGAAAACACAAATTTGATTTTGCATAAATTGATTGGTAGAAATCATGGATTTTTAGCCCTTTGCAAACAAAATGAACAGTTTCTCAATTTCATATTTATTTCATAATTCATAAGAAAGTGAAAATTGCTAATTCGATAAGAGCGCGAAGTTGAAGGAAACCTCGATTAAGTGGTCAACTTGAAGACAATGACTCGGAATATTATTTCTTTTTTGTCATGTTAGAACAAGGAAGCTTTTTGGATAGATTCCTAAATCTTTTGCCTTTCAGGATTATTGCATTTTTTGGACATATTGTGAGAAAAACATGAACAATTGGAAAATCCAGTATTCGTAAAAAAATTGCATTTCTTACATATTTTATGGGCCATTAAAACTTGCTTAATTTCAGTTCCGTAAATGCTTTTAAAGCAAAATTAAAACTTTTTGCTTCACAATTCAAATGGCAATGTTTGAAATATTTTCCATATTTAGAAAAACATATTAAACTTACTGGTGAATGTAATATTGAAATGTTTTGTTCTGATCTGGAAAATTTTAATCAAGAATTTAAGAGACGATTTGCAAATCTATATCAATAATTTTCAATCGATTTTTGAATTTGATTCATTTCCTTTTAGAGAATGCGATAACGAGAATATTTCATCAAATCTAACTCATACTTTTCAATTGAATTCATCGGCTCTACAGTTAGAAATTTTAACTATGTATACATACAATCAGATATAATTCTGAAAGCACGTGCAAATGAAAATTATTTTTGGAATTTATTACCAGAAGAAAAATATCATTATTGAGATCGATTATCTATATGAAGCAGCGTTTTCTCAAATGAAAAACATCAAATCGCAATTTAGGAGACCTCTTAATGACATCTATTCGATTGTGCATCAGTGATTACAAGCCTATCTTTACAAGACTTGTTGATGAAATGGAATGTCACGCATCTACATCAAAAATATTTATCAATCAAGTAGATTGCACAAAATAATAAATTTGTTTTTAATTTAACCCATCGTTCTTTTGCCCATCCCTGGTCTAGACCTATAATTTAGAATACTAGTGTTAGTTCTAGCTTTAGTTCATTTAACACAGGGTGTAATAGATAACTTAAAATTGTTGGATAGGCTTGTACTGTGCCTAACCATGCCACCAAAATAATTTTGAATTCAAATTAAATTGTAGTTTTTTCCAAATCATAGCATCTTTTATTCAGCTGAGAATGTAGCAGTAGCGCTCATTTCTAGTATTTAGAATTTCCGTTTACAATCCTAGAAACTAACTGTACAGTATTATCATTGGCTAAAATTATTTAATGATTATATTTTTTATAAAAAAAAATAGAAAAATATTAATTATGAATCCTTTATTGAAACATGATTATAACAACAATCACCAAAACTATGTAAACATCCATCTGGATGATTATTAAAAAACCAACAAAGCTTCTCTTTGTACTTGGCAACTTTGTCAAAAGTAGAAGGAACTCTTATTTTCACATAACCTTTCTCAACCTCAAAAATATATCGGTGATTTCTCATCAACGTTTGTAACCCACCACAATTATTTTTTAATTCTTTCAGATCGTCTTTTGAAATAGAACCAGTTAAGTCTTTGATTGAAAAAGATCCACCACAATTCCAATTTCCATTATATCCTTTTAAATAGTTTTTCTCTTCTAATAGTTTATTAACTATTTTTAAAACGACTCTATTTACAACATTTCTATTGATTTTAGTGCAATTTCTCACTTTTTCCTCTTGAGGTCGTGGTTTAAAATCACCATATGAACTAACTCCATCATCTAATTCAAATTGATTTAAAGTTGTTTTACTTTTTATGAGATCATCCAATTTTTGATCTATCATAGCAAATTGATTTCTATCATTTTTATATGTTCTTCCAAAACTAATTAAACAAGTTCTTTTAGTTGAAGGAATTTTTAATTTGTCAATTTTAACATTGAATCCACTAGTTTTTGAAATCCCCTCAATGTACTCAATATATTCATTATAAACACTTTTCGAAGTGTTTAATCTAGAATATTTTTTCCCAGAGAAATCATAACTACAACAAGGAAGAAGAAAAAAATTCGTTTTGTATGAACTTCTTGAAGCAATAACCGGAATCCAAGGTGTTAATTCGTCAGAGTGATTGCCAATTATCCAACCAATTTCGGGAAATAAATAGTTTGATGAGGGAATGATAGTTTTTTCTTTTAAAATTACACTTTTAGGGTATAAATCCCAAATTTTTCTTTTTCTTACATCAATACCAAAACCATTGTAACCTTCTTGTGATAAAATAAAAACTAACAAACCATTTCCACACCCTAGATCAACAAATGATGGTTTTTTAGATGTTTTTAAGGTGTTCCATAAACATATTAAATATGTGGCAATCGCTATATCTTCATAAACAAATTTAAGAGGATCCGTATTTTCAGGCCAAATCTAAAGAAAGTTTTTCATAAAGATAACTTTACATTTAAACAATAACAAAATGTACCTTAACCATATCTTTTCCATATTTTTCTTTTAAATTGACATACAAATCAAAATATGCATCTATGGAAATTAATTTAACAGATTCTTGTGGTGGTTCTTTTAATTCTTCTTGAGCCCATTTAATCAATTTCATAAATAATTTATCAACTAACCAATTAGCACTGTTTGTATCAGCATCTTCAAAGTTGTTAACTGTACAACGAACATGGTTTGAAGACATCAATTCTAAATTATAAAGAAAGTTAGGTGCTATGTTTTCATTTGACTCCATACCAGCTATAAAGCTTGCAATATTTTTATTTTTATTCAATACAACAATTTCTACGCATTTTTTATGTATTGATAGTTTTGGAATTAGAATTCTTAAAGAAATAAAAATTCCTGATGTTGATGAATTAAAATCATTTAAATCAATTTCATAAAGAACCAAGTTTTTATCATAAGGTTTCAAGATATCGTTTATGAGATTACAAATGTTACTTTTGGTTAATTGTGGTAACTTCATGGTTTCATAAAGAATTGCAGAACGTGTTAAAAACTCCAATAAGTTTGTAAGAGATGATTGTACTGAATAAAAATAAGCTTGAGTAACACCCATTAATTTTTTGTTGACTAATTGAGGTCTATTGTGACAAACCATAACAGATTCCCAATATTTATCTAAAGATACAGTACAACCACTCGTAATTAAAGGAATATCCATCTTATTATTTATTTAAATACTAAAAATTAAAGTAAATAATAATTACAATAAAAAGTAACAGTATTTAACCTTCTTCATAAGCCAATCAATATCATGATAAGATCTCAATATTAACTGTTCGATTTTAGCAGGATCAGTTTCATCTTTATATTGTTTATAACTCTAAAAACAATTCGTTTAGAAAAAATAATCTTTAAAAAATCTGTTAATAACAACCTGTTTTATTTGAAACTTATAATGTTCTTGTGGTCCTTTAGGTAATTTCTCACACTCTCTCATCAAATACTTAAAAACAGCTTTTGGTGAATCAACAGAAGGTTTCGTTGAAAAAAATCTTTCAATCCTCCACATGACAGATAAACTTAACCACACTTTTTCAATTTCTTAACCTCAATTCTAAAATAAAATTAAATTTATTTTGAATTTTGTATTGCGTTTTGGGCTATTTCTCACACTTTCATCCAGTACTTAAAAATAACTTTTGGAGATTTACCAAGACGTTTCGTAGAGAAAAATTTAAACGTTTTTATTTATCTAAAATTAACCTAACTTTCTCAGTTACCTAACCTCAATTTTAAAATGAACTTGACAATTTAAATCTAGTTTTGACATGAAAATCAATACATTTACGAATCATGTTCTTTCGACACTTTGTGATATCTTCCAAAAAATTATTAACCAAAGATTTTAGTAAATTGTACGTTTCAAACCACTTCAAATTCGTAGTTTAGATATATTTTGTTTTAGAAGCAGTGTAAAGCAATATCCAGACGCTTTTGCTAAAGATGGGGACACAGGATATTCCAGAACTTCTTCAGGGACAATTTTACCGAAAGATAATAAGGTATTTGAAGCTATGGGAGCAGCTGAAGAGTTACTTAGTTTCTTAGGGTATGTTGTGTTTTCTGTTAAATTTGGTGTAAAATTGGTTACGTTTGAATCAAATTTTATAGATTAGCAAGAGAATATGCTTTAGAAAGTGAACATGAATACTGTGATAAACTAAAACGAGCCCAAACTGTTATAATTGATATTTCTGAGGCAATATCCAAACAATCGGGTGAAAGTTCTGTTAAATGTACTCATGTTAAAGAATTGGAAGATTGGATTAATCAATATTCTAAAGAATTACCTGTTCAAGAAAAATATATTATACCTGTATATTTTTTGTTATAGTCATCTTTTTAATGATACCTTTAATTTTAAACTTTTTAGGGTAGTGGTTTAGCTTCAGCAACTCTACATGTTTCTCGGTCAATTTGTAGACGTGTTGAACGAGCGATTGTACCTCTTGTAAGAAATGGACATCTTTGTTCTTCATGCCAAATTTATGTGAATCGATTAGCGGACTTCTTATTAACTGCATCACGTTTAGCTGCTAAAATGGATAAACATAATGAGACCATATATGTTCCTTCTACTGATACAAAAAATAGTCAATAGATTTTGTTTAAGTGTAAATAGTACTGTTTAATATAATTATAATAAATAAAAACTAAAGAAACATTCCTGTTTATTAAGCAACCAAACTTTATTAAAGACTTTTAACAAATAATTATTTTACACAAAATTTATAAATATTCATCTCCCAAAACCATTTCTTTATAAGATAAGATCTCCAATACTCCAGCTCCTTTAGTTTCATTACGAATCATTTCATCAATTATTCTATAAAGACCAGGATCCACCAAAAATATCATACACAATTCATCTCCAGTTCTATCCTCATTTTCAACCTCAACTTTCTCCATTTTTATTATTTTATCCTTCCATTTTTTCGTATCTTTTCCCTTTAAAATCACTCTCAACCTCATTTGAGCCCTCTCAATGGGAATAGTTTCCTTCAACATTTTTATAACGGTCAAAGCTTGTTGTTTTGCACTTTGATTCGGTTTAACAGAATAATGAATGTCTTTCATAGCCTTTTCAATCATGGTAACAGGATAAGGACGCTTTAATTCCGGATTTAAACATTTATCGGCCACAGTAGTGGCAATATCTTTAAAAAGTGCGTCTAATTGATTGTGACGCTCTTTATCTGATACTTGGAGTTCACCTTTTTGAAGAATTAATTTGCATATTTCTGTTGCATTATCCATTCCAAAAGCGCTTAAAAGATCCTCTTTTTTAGCTACTTGTCCCTTTGATACATTCAGGAATACCGTGTGAGTTTGAAGAACTTCATCAATATCCTTTTCACTAAAATTAAAATTGCGAAAATTGCAAATTATTGTGAAATAAAATTTCTGTTTTTGGATTAGCTTTAACTTACATGTTATTTCTCCATGATATAGCTTTGTTTTTATAACACGCAATTTCAAATCGTTTTCCTCCCTTTTTCATACGCACAACGGCAACGTTTGTTAAACGTATTTGGTTTGTTGGTGTAAATATTTTCGACATTCTTGATGCTAACGATGGTGTTTAAGATCTGGTTTAAGAGTTCAAACGTAAAAGTGAGGTTAGGTTGTATTTTGACATTTGCATCAAATTGAGGGTTATGTGGGATTATGAAAAAGTAATTTTTTGTAAAAACGATATTCAAAATTAAAGATAAATGTTTAAAATAAATTTTTTATTAAAAATTAAGAAAAAACAATTCGGTATCTCTAATTATTTTAAGTGAATTAATGTTTTGAATTGTATTTTAGAATGCGTGTAATGGATAAAGTAGTTAAAAGATGTCGCTAGATTCAATTGAGACAATTTCATTTTCTTTTTATTAACAACAATTAGAAATGTTTAATCGTATTTTATAAGCAGTGGAGGCTGTACTTTTTATGGCAATAAGTCAATTTGGCAGACAAACAAAGTGAATCTACTCTACTGCCTAATTTTTTGTTTGGCGTCATCATAAATGAGATGCAAATGCTGAATTTGGTATTACAAACACTTTGGTAGAGGCTGTTCGTGTTAATTCATCTGCAGCTTCATAGCCAGCCTTTGTACTTATATTCTTCTTATAAGCACAGTTGTTCTGTGCTATAAGTTTCGATTTAAACACTCACTTTGTTTGGAAGCATTGGATTGAGGTGCTGTGAAGTTGTGTTTTATCAATTTTCAATGGTAGTTGCTAGTAGCTCTATATTTGGTGATATGGTACTGTTTTTACAGAAATTTCAGGTTATATCATAATACATTCAAATGATTTTTTAGGGACTATTGAAGATTTATTTATTTATCTCAAGTGGGTACAGAAACATATCGAACCCAATAACACTCTACCACAAACAACGAGTTGTATTCAAGTTAAATTGCAGTTCACAATAATGCTGCAAAAGTTAAGTGTGCTAAGAACTTTACTTTTGGAGAAATCTTTATTTCTGGAAAGAAATGGAAAAATGCAGAAAAGTATTTTGTTACTAAAGAATATGCTATTTCTTAATAATCAAAAGTATAGTATTATTACTTTTATAGCTTTTATGTTAACAAACATTTTGATTTATTTGTGTAATTAATTAGGTTGGGTGTAATTATTAACAGATGTCGCTGTTTCCATTAAGATTAAAACAACTTTTTATTCTACGACATTCATCGAAACTATGTTAAATTAAAACTAAAATTTTTATCTAAATTTATGCGTTCTATTAAATTTTATTGCTAAATTTTATTTTAATTTTTATTAAACAGGATTAGTTGCATGTAATTAGTTTGTTTATAATGATTATTGATAGATGTCGCTGTATGCGTGTAAGAAAAAATATTTCCAATTAAACGTTTTATTGAAATTACAAAGTTTATTTTGATTGTAATAAAAATTGTATTATATTTCGAATAATTTTAATCTAATTATAATTAAAAAGTAATTTGTTACAGTTTAATTTAGTTTTGGTTATATTGATTGTTGACAGATGTCGTTAGTTTCGGCGTAACAGTCGTTTTTAATCTGTGGGGATCGGCGAGAGAGATATCAGGAACAATAATAATCACAAAAATACAGTGCGGTGATAGTAGAAAAATGAAATTAACCGAACATGACAATTAACCTGACGTTCCGTCCCGTGCGGTGGTGTCATACGCGGCGGTATAGTGCTTAATTTCGTGCTGGTGCGAACTGTTTTATTCACCAAATGTAAGGTGCCGATCATTTTTTTTACATTCCGACTTAAAGTTATAATACAATGGCTTTGGTAACCGTACAAAGAAGCCCCAGCAGTAATAATTCACCACAGAGCATCGTAAGTTATTCATATTTCAACTTGGTTTTAAGCTATAAACGTTAAAATCCTTTTGTTTGGAGGGTAAACTTAAAACGCTTTGTGTTTATGTATGTGTTGTGTCTGTGTGATTGTATTCGTGATAACCTGTTGAAGATTAAAAAAAATTATAATATAATAATTGCATTTTGTAATTTAGATATGTAATAATTTTGATGTTTGTTGAATTAGTCACATAACCTTATTTGTCATAAATTTTTTTGTTATTGTTGATAAAATAATTATGATAGTAGAAATTTTGATTTGAAAGTGTGATAGTATTCGGAATTATTTTTTTAGGTGAATATTCGAAAAGAAACGTGTTTTTTAAATTGTATTTAAAGTAAAATGTAGAAAATCTTCCTTTTTTGGTTATAAATCGAAGTTAACGGTAGTTGTCGCGGTGTGGCGCTAGCGTAGCTCGGTGCATGCGATTTCGTGTTGGATGTTCGTTTCTCTTGACAGTTTCGTTTGGTCGGTGGAAGAGCTCGGTTTAAATGAACTTTATTAAAAAGAAACGTACTCTCTTCTATATCTCTCTTATAATAATAATAATAATAAATACTGAATAAGTTTTTTTTATAAACTCTAGATTCATAAGGAAATTTGTTTTCCTAGTGTTATTGTTAAAATGACTATCTTCGTGTCTTAGTTTTGAGATTTAAGAGTGGTGTGTGAATATGTTGCATATTTTGCCACCGCCAAGGGCTCCGAACCCTCCATCGCCGTGGGATAGCATACTATGCGCTGCCAGAAGCAACGCCAATACTGATCGACCACCATGGTCCAAAACCAAAAGGTCTCTTAGAGCTCGCATGCGTAGCCTAACACGAACCGAAGTAAGTTATCTAAACTTCAAATTAGATGATCCTTATATATACTATATACATATATAGGTTAAGCAGGAAAAGACCTCATTTTCCTTTTGGTTCTTCCTCATGCTTTCTGATGAATGTCTACTTCCCCATTTTAAACGTCTGGCCGAGTATTTTAAATGTCACATAGACGATGTGTTCTTTTTCGTTACGACCGAAATAGAATGTAAGATGACAAACGAGTTTTAAATAAAATTTTGCATAAACCACAATCAAAATATTAACCTTATATTTCGTTGTTTATGGATCAAAACAGTTGATGACAGGAAATCGAATAAGTTTTTGTTTGTGTTGCTTGGCAACGTGAAGCAGATGTTTTCATACAAACAAAAACCTTTAGGGTTCTTCAGGTAAAACCGGGTTTCGAGGAGTTTTTACGGTTCAATGGGTTTCTTTTGGATAGAGTACAATAAGGTTACTTTTTTTAAAGGATTTAAGTATTTTAAGTCCACGTTTACACGTTTTTATTAAACAATAAATTTTCTTGAAAACAAGGGATATTACTTAAAAGAACTGTTTACATTTATAAATTAAGAAGAATTAGAAAAAAACATAATAACTAAAAATATCTATGCATAGGTGTCCCACATAAGCGGTAACATGGAAACTTTAATAAGAGAAAATACTCCTTAAAAAATAATTGGAGTTTTTATATGGTACTGATTAACGTATTGATAAATGATGGAATGTTTAAACTTAAAAATAGGCGGTGATTTCAAATTATGACTGTAACTTCCGGGTAAAGTACTTCTTCCGGTTACGCATTTGATTTGCAGAACCGATGATTTGTGCTATCGTGATTGGAGGGTTATTTTTTAAATTTATTTTTCATAAAAATATATACATGATGGTTTTTGTTTATACAGGTATATCTGAATTGCTTGGCTAAACTTCAGCAACGTGATATGGAACAAAACAGTAAAAAAAATTCTTAGAAACATGTGTCTAGAAATGCTTCCTTAAAAAATTCCAAAATTGTAACAAACCAGTAACAATTTTTATTAAAACAATAAGAACAAATTTCACATCGTTTATTTAGGATTGTCGAACTCGCTCAACTTCACAAAAACTATAGGCCTGTTTTGGTTCAACAGTTCTGCAGTTCCGAACAGTTCTGAACCTTTCTGCGCATTCATATCTATACGCAGAAAATATTACAAATATTACAGATCTGTCACCATTGCCAATCCAACGATTAGGAAAAGTATTATTTAACACGTTGACTGCCATGTGGCTGGACGTGCCATAAGTAAATTATTTTGTATACAAAATATGTATATCTAAACGACTTTTTTTTAAACTAATCATAACATACTTAAACTTAGAAAGATAGTAATATAATAATAATAAATGATACGCTGTTTTTGATAAAATATGGTAGTGACAGAGCAGACCCTAAATTTAGAGTGTTGCAGCCAACGTGCTAAGTACTCCCTAGTAACAAGGCTACGTTGAAATGTGGTGAAACACCAACATGCACGAACCATAAATCACGGCGTGTTTCTAACGAAACGTCATCAAGTAAAGTATGTAGGTTATTTTCCAGAAACAATTTGTAATTTTACCCATTTAATCTGTCTGATAACATTGGATCTGTCTTGATTGTTTAATCACTTAAGGATTACGAAGTAGCATTCCTGGTCGAAAATCGGCTTCACTCAGACCCTTCACCTCGAAATCCGCAGGGACTCATGATAAAATATAATTTCGACCAGCCGTATATGGTCATGTTTAGAAGCAAGGAAAAATGGACGAATGGTGAACCTTAACTTGAAGAGGAGCCCTGGCTGAGGATGCACCGTTTTGAATCTTGAGAATTGACAGAAAATGACATCGATAAACATCTTTACGGACTGTCGGGCCGTCCTAAAGGCAATTCAGCCTACATGTGTGAATCCGTACTGGTCAAAGAATGTACTGATAACATGAGAAAATTCGCCAGGGGTAATGGAGTTACTATATGGTGGTTTCCAGGTTGACAAAGACATTGAGGCTAATAAAAAACACAGAAATGCAAAAATACATAAAGTACTTTATTGGACCCCAACCCGGCTGTGGACTACATAAAAGTCACTTAAAACAGGTGATTAACACATGGGAGGACTCAAAGGTTGCCTTGCGCTGGAAAGAACTTCCAGGACACAGATAGACGAAGAGTATGATATACTATACAATGTCCATTAAAGATCTAGATAAAAGACTCTATACTAACATTTTGATTTTTGTTAAATCTTTGCTTTTCTAAAGAAATTTCGGACTTAACTTTTCAGTAAATGTAGTAAAAAAAAATTGTAGTAAGTATTACTTGAATTTTTGAACTTAAGTTGACGTTTCGTTCATAATTCACAGTTACTCTTCGTTGGTTTAAAAGGAATATATACAAAGATCAAGGTTTGTTTCTCTCTACAATGAACACAAGGTTATACATTCCGAATAAAGGGACTTCTTATAGAGTTCTTTGGGGTTTTGTTAACACCGCAGTAAACTATGGTCTGTTTATTTACGCATCCAGACAGATGAAAGTGTGCCTCATCACTTAAGAACATTAAACATTTAATTGAAATTCGTTACAGATACGCTTTTTAAAATAAAATGTCGACTGTAAAAGTTTGTTCATTACACGTTTTTGCGTTCGGTGTCTTATAAAAATGCGAAAAAGCTGAGATGAATTAGAAGAATGAATTATGTTGGATATATTTCTTTGACTGCTTATTTTGATATGATTGGAAGGGGAACTTTGAACAGTTTGTATTTATACAACCCATATCACACTATTATACCTTTTTGTAACCAGATTACAAAGTTATGACTAAGATTAGTTGAACTTAATAAGGGTGCCAATAAATTTTTAGCACAATAGAGAGAAGCGGTAAACGTCATGCCCCAACTAGAGAGTGAAATGGCCCTTATAACGATAGAGTCTGTATTCACGTAACATTATCTTGTTTAAAGTCTCGTAATTGCGAATGTAGGTGGCAAACTCAACAGAAACACGGATTGTTTAATGGTACGTAATAGGGTGTTTGTCATGGTGTTTTTTCCATAATCTCCAATTACGCCTAACCAAGCCTATCCATGCTGCAAAACTTCCAAAGAAAAGTTGTTAATTTCAACCCACGAAACAAGATACACTGACTCATATCTAAAAGGCTAGCCAAGTATAATTCCGTATGTTCTTTTGGAGTTGTACAAAGTTGTATTAATTTCTGAATAACATCCAAAGTTGTAAGTAAGAAACCTATTAGAGTGATATGAAAACTTTCTAAAACTTTAGTAAGGTTGACGGTGTTAAGCATATACTTTGAGTGTTGTAACTTCGAGAGCAATTGTGTTAGATTAATTAAATCATAGTTAAGCAAGATATATCACGCAATGAAGTAAGATAAGAAGTTATCAACTAAGTGTACTATCTCAATAGGCGTACATCAAGTTTTGAGCCATTGTGATTTATGTTACACATGGTTTCCACTGAAATGTAAAATGTGGTAGTTGCGTATAAGAGGGTTTACAATCATTAACACATGTGAAGTACTGAGACTGGAAATTGTCACATTATGGCACGAGGCTTTTTGGGTAACGGGACAAGAAATAAATTTGCCTCAATTTTGCCTAACTAATCTCTGTTAATTAATGCAAGAGCACTACAATTAAAAAATGAAATACTTGAAGCTTACGTTATTGATTGTAATGATAGCTTACAGCTTATCTGTCTCTATCAGGAGTCATCAAATATGGCTGTTTTTTTAGATTAGAAAATCAATAATTTATGCAAGATTAGAAATGCAGTCCCCAATAAAATGTACTAAGTTCACAAAACTAAGACATATTCTAATAAAAATAAATAATATACAAAAATTTGCAACGCAATCTATCTGATAAAAGTATTCCTTTTAAAGGAAGTATCACAAATTTCTTTTGGTTTATATTGTTTTTAGTATAAATTTGAAAATTTTAAGAAATAACGTAACAGTCATAAAATGTGTGAAGACAGAACGTATTTTTATTGTCTTGTTTACGAAGAATTGTGTGAACATTTTATTGCTAAGTAAATTTTATTACTATAAGTCAAATGACCATAACAATTAATGTAAAGAACCATAATATTATTTTTACATGCTGTTAAGAAGCACGTAATGAGTCATATTTATTATGAATTTTTCTTAAATATTTATTATGAAATTTTATGTAATCTTAAGTATGAATTCAACCAAGTTAAATAAATATTTTGTAGTTATTGCCTTGTTAATTACTGTTTCTTGTAATTATAGTCTCGAAATGACTTTCAAATCTATTATTGGTGACATTATTGATGATTTTTTTATTAACAAGTTATAAAATAATCATATGTATTAATTGAACAATAGGTGAAAGCGTGTCTCCATCTGATAAGAAAAATACATGAGTCGATATAAGAGACGACGTATTTAACTACATAATGTACTTCGTGACAATACAGGATTTCTAAAAACTTCTTACGTAATTGTTAATCAATTCAAAATTAATAACTATTTATAAAAGTGTTCGTCTATTGATATTCAAAGCGATTTATTTAATAGGCTTATGACTTCAAGTGCATGATTTTTGCATCTTAAAATAACTTATAATAATATTTTTCATAGAAATGACTTCATAAATCTTTATTAAATTCTTAAGTGTTACGCAATTATTCCTATTTAGAAGTTGAATTTATAAAAGAAATGTTGTGAAATATAAATTTTACTCTTAAAAGTCAACAATGGTTTACTTAGTTTCCACTTGTTAATGCGCGGCAATTTTAATAGCTGCAATAAAAACTTTATATCGGTCATCTGGATAAAAGATTGACGTAACCATTGCGAATTTAATTACTTTTGTTGACTGATGCAATTAAATAATTTTATGGTCGAGTTGGTGCCCTTGTTTAATCTTTTTTAAATGGTACCGTTTTTAAAGTTTTATTATTATTCCGGAAGTAACCCAAATTA